TCGAGGTATTTTGGGGGCAGTGACCTGAGACAAAGTCCATTGTCCCCCAACCACATGCTCATCCCCTCTCCATGCCCAGGGCGTGTTGTAGGAGAGCGATGAACCAAAATAGCTGATATAATACTAAACCTGGTTTTATTTAGCTAGACGGTAGGTTCTTGAGAGATAGCATCTCCCCAGGTTGCCTCAGGGTGAGGGGTTTCCCCCCAGGGTTGGCACCTCTAAGGGACCTGGAGTTATTTTCAATAAGGTCCATGAAAGGCAGCTCAGTAGAGACCAACCGCTGCTTTTCACCTTGAAATCACTGCCCAGTGCCTTGTGGTTTTGGTTCAAAACCATGAACACCCCTATTCCCCTTCTGCAGCTCAAGGAGTTTTCCCTTCTCCCCCTCTTTGGCTCTTCTGTAAATAAAAATGAGCTTTATTGATTTTATTTCAGTAATGGAGAAATAATTTGCCTTTGGCCCGAGCTCGCAGGATGCTAAACTCCAGCCAGGAGTGTGGTTTTGGGTTTTTTTCCTCCTTTTATAGCGTTTCTGATCTGTGTTTATGATGCCAGCGCTGACACATCCTAAACTACAGTGTGGCTATAACCCCCGGAAAAAACTCCCGGCGGGGTTGAAATAGTGGCTGGCAAATGTTCCCTCCTCGCTGGAGCTTGTGAATCAAAAACCATCAACGGTTTAAGCAAAGGCTTGTGCCGGGGAGGGAGAACTTATGCCGGAGTTGATGCATATTTTATCACCGCACTTATTCACTCACAGCCCTTCTCCCTTTGAACGCCGCACAGGTTTTAATTAAATAGTCATTGGCGAGGCTGTTATTCTAGCTTGGAAGGCCTCCAAATGGCCGTGTTTTTTTCCCCAAAATGATCACAAGGGGATGTGCTCCCATCCCCCCCCCCGTCCTCACCAAGGTTTGTCTTCTGCAAATACTGCTAATTACGTTTGTCTGGCCGGACGCCGGCTCTGCGATACCATCTTTCATTAGCACTGACCTCTCCGTGCTCGCAAGGAGCTGGCTGATATTCCCGGAGCGGTGCCTTACGGATGCTGCCAAGAAACGTCCCTCTGGCACTGGGCAAGCAGGTCTGGGTCTTGCAAGCGATAGGGTCGTGTTGAGCCCTGGTTCGTTAGCGCCTGCTTGTAAACAAGGTTCTGCAGCTTGGGTGCAGCTCCCTGTCTACGCAACTGGGTTGTTCCTGGTTACAAACCAGAGTGGAGAAAGGCTGAGGTTGGTGCCTTCACGATCTGCTCTAGAAAGGGGTTGCTGGTGGCCATGTGTGGGTGGTGAGCTTGGATCAGGTGCAGGAGGGGTGACGAAATGAGTTGGGAGAGGATGGGACATCTCTCCTTGGCTTTAAACATCTCATGGAGGCTCTCCTGATGGCAACGCAATCCATAGCAGCGTAGATGTTGCTGTAGGCAACTCTTCAGAGGGTCTAGGAGAAACCACGGCCAGGGGCTGAGAGGTGCCACTTCCCTTACTGGCACCTAGAGGTGCTGTGATAGGTCTTTCCCTTCCCCTGGCTTTGAATTTCCACCTGGCTTCTCAACCACTGACACGAGTTTGCTCCCGCTTGTCAGGAACGAGATACTTAATTTGTCAGTTTGCTACGCTTAATATTTCTTTCATGTATCGTGTCGGTTTTAAATGCAAAACATGGCTGGATAAGCTGACATGTTTGCTTTTTGTTTTTTTTTTTTTTCCCACCCTACTGTAGCCGACACATTGAAGGTAGCCGTGTTTAACTAATAAAAAAGATTTTAAAATGCTGGTTTTGCACTTCTTTAATTGACTTCAAATTTCCATTTGCATGCAGCCTGGCACATTGCAAAGGAAAAAGGAGTGCCGAGCAAATAAGAAATGCGTCACTCCCTGTTTTTTTATCATAATCAAAAACATAAAAATTAAGAATCTGAATCAATGTACATTAAGCTATGTAATTGCCTAAATAAACGTGGCGGGGGTAGATAATGGGTCTTCCTGATTAGAAGAAAATACCGAATTTAGTGCAAAGGTTATATTTGGTTGCAAAGCAGCGCAGTTTAGCGGTTGCATCCTCCTTTTGGGAGATAAACCAGGCAGGGGGGCTCAGAGGGCAGCGATGGGTCCAGGTGCTGGTGATGAAGGAGCTCTCTGCTGGAGAGCATCCTTGGTGGCACCCTCAAGGGAACTATAGGGATGGAAGAATTGCTAGGGGATGGTGGAAATTGGTTTTTCCAGCTCTCATGAGGCCTGTGGTGGTTGTGTTTTCTCTTCCAGCACCCAGTCCTGGTGGTCCCCGACCCAGTGAGGGTCCCGGTTTGCAACGACCGGTCTTGTAGCAAGGGAGGAGGCTCCCAAGAGCAGGACCCTCCAGGTAAACCCCCAGCTTGGATGGGTTTATTGCGACCTCTAAGTATTTATCATTACTTGAACTTGCTCAGGGTGGTTTGTAGCTCCATTGTGCACGCTGCGGAGTTTTATTAGGATGCACTGCCTACTTCCCAGCCCTTTTTCCCTGTAAATTGTGGCAGCTTTGCCAACCTGATCAGCAAAGATAAATAACATCCCGGTGCCGCAAGCTGTACTGAAACTGCTCGATGGTCTTATGGTTATCCCGAGAGCTGCAAGCCCACGGTTTGAAGCTGCTGCCCGTCCGCAGAAAAACAGAGGTGGCTGTCCGGCACTGTTGGAAATCAACGATAGGGATCTGGTGGTGGTGGCAGGAGTCAGCCGGTGACGCTGCTGTTGCTACCGCGCCTACCAGCCCTCCAAAGGCTCCTCCCCTGCACTGGTGTTTGGGAGCAAAAAAAAAAAAAAAAAATCATCCAGATCTGAGTATCAGTTTGCATTTGTCCTTTCCCCTTTGCTTTCCCTTAACTGCAGCCAAAAGTCATTTCACCGTCAACCACAGGATCGCTGCAAGCTGGTTGTCCTTCCCTGCAGAACAAGCAGTGCTCGGGCACGGGATGTCCCCAGTGCTTTTAATCTCCAAAATGCCTCCCCAGGCAAATCATGTTAATATCGGAGAGTGCAGGAGTGGGGGGAGAGCTGCCCACCCATGGTCATTGTTATTCATTGCTCACTGTCACGCTGGGGAATGAGGAAAGGCTGCTGGGTTTTGAGGTTGCAGCCTGGCAGCGAGGAGTTAAAGGAAAGGTGAAATATTAAGCAGAAGCAAAGAGGCACCGTGGGAAGGGCAGGATCCCAGGAAAGCTTTTCTGGGGATGAAAAAAACCCTGTCACCTGGAAGGGCTCCAGCTCTCCCACCCAGCCAGCATGCCCGCTGCTCCTCAGGGCCCAGCCTGCCGCGGCAGAGATGCCGAAGGGGCCGAGTGCTGGAGCAGCGATGCTGATGGGGACGAGAGGCTTTTTCAGATTGCAAAGGGGCTGGGCTGCTCCCGCGAAGCAAAACCTGGGTTTTGCTGGGGGAGAAGTAGAGTTGTGTTGCAGCATGCGTGAACCCGTCTTGTTGAGCTTGCTGCTCTGAGCACCGGCTATGGAGGTAGCTAAATAGCAGAGAGTTAAATAATAATGATAACAATAAGGAGCTTTTTTGATTCATAAGGTTCACCAGCCCAAGCATCCCAGCAGAGAGAGATGCTGGGATGCAGGAGGCTGCAGCCTTGGCACATCATTGGTGGGGTGGTCCTCCTGGGGTAAGAAGAGGTGGCCCTGAGGGTGGTGAAAGAGGCTGGACCATGGCAGCTTTTAGCATGAAGACAGGATGCATCACCCACCCTCCATCAGCAGAAGCAATGTGCTACAGCTAATGAGCAAGCCTCAGAGGCAGGGTTAATTAATGCAGCCTCCCAAGGTCTCCTAACATGGATGGATGCCACTGACCTTTGTAGGAAGCCCTTGAAGGCAGAAATGCGAGGCCTCCAGGCAGTGACCGAGAGAAGTAATAAATACTTTTGGGAGCACTTTGAGAGAACATTAACCTAAGCTCTCCTAAACCACCATGAGCAGCACGGTGTAAATGGTGATACCATGGGCTGCTCCAGCACCATCTCTTATCTCCAAGCACTTCAAGTGCATCCGTGACTTTGTGCTCGTGATCTGCTGCCACCAAGGAGGCAGGTACAGGAGGGTTTTGTCCATCTGGGAGCTGGTTTTGTCCGTCTGGGGCTGACTGATGACAAGCAGTTTCTCTAACGGCTAGAGGGGAAGAAAATGCAATTACCCAAAGTAGGCTTTTGGCAGGACACGGAGGCAGCGGAGTGAGCTCGGTGAAACCTGGAGAAAAGGGGATGAAAGACCGTCTGCTCACGTCCAGGGCCCTGCTTTGCTTTTGGTTGCCTCCTCAGAGACGTTGTTTGTGCAGTAATTAGTGATGTAAAACATGCATCGGCCTCTTTGTTCCCATTAGGCTTGGCTACGGCTTAAAATGATGCGCAACAGTAGCCCGTGGTTAATTTTACCAAATGTTCACTTTAATTTCATTTAAGACCAGCTGTCTACAAATCTATAGTGCCTATTTACATCGCGTGCATATATATATATATATTATTCTGTGCTGAGGATAAGGCAACAGATAACAAGGCACTGGTAGGAGCAGTGCACCCTCTGGCCCTCAGCCTCCAACCCCTGCGGTCAAGCCTGAAGGCTCAATGTTGGCTTGATGCTGGTGGGGCTGACGTTTGGGTGATACCTCCTTAGGGATCAAACCTCCCTGCTGTGTTCCTCCACCCTAAAATCCCCCGTGTGTTGCGTGTCCAGGTCAATATTAAACACCTGGTGTGTAAAGCAGCTACTTATCGGGCAGTGCACAGCTGGGAGCCTGCAGCGAGCCGTGGTTTATTTGCATCTGAGCAAGCATGCCTTTGTTTAAATACCTCTAAGCAAACAAGTCCACCCAGCTCCTGCTTTGCTCTTCCTTGTGTCTTCAAGGCTGGGTTTACTGGCAGTATCCGTGGGGACTGGGAGGATGCCTGCTTGATGTATGGGTAACTTTGTCCTGGTAGTGTTGGTCCCGTTCTGCGTGGTCCAATGTGGGCTGGTGGCTTCTTCTACCAGCTTTCACCATCGTGTCACGTCCGAGCCACCACCGCTGTTACGTGAGACCCCAGCATGGATCCCTCAAACCTGTGTTTGCGCCGTCCCTCCCTCTGGCAGCACCAAGACGGCTGGGAGGAGGCTGCCGCGGGGTGATGGGAAGGGCTGCAGCTCCTTGGTCCCAAAGCGTGGTGAGATGTGGTCGGCCAAGAAGCGTATGTGGAAGTGCCGGCCGATGCAGTGGACCAGGCTGCCCACCACGGCGCACTGAAAGCCGGATGGCTCAGGCATGGCATAAGTGGCACACTCATACCATAGCTTGGCCTTGGCGCTGCAGCGGTAGACGCCAATGCCCGTGCTGCGGTGGAAGTCAAAGCGGTAGATGAAGCCATTGGCGCTCACCATCTCGGCCATCCTGTCCTTGCCACCACTGGCCGGGCTGACGCTCCAGCTGTCCGAGCGGGCGGCCTAACGCAGCCGCACGTAGCGGCAGGT